GCTGATCCTCGCAACTCGGGAAGATTCTAAACTTTACTGTTTTTCTGCCTGCTGGAGTTCGTCATTCCGAGTACGCAATGCCGGTTCCCAGGTTGACCTCGTTTTGACTCCAAGGCCACGATCGGCGCTCGTATAATGTAAGCGTCTGCCTCATTTGGAAATGTGGTGCTGTAGGTCAACGAAGACATGTGCCTGCCCGACTGGAGTGTTCTGAAAACGTTCAGCACACGTTTTTGATACGTTTGGTTTCTGTTTTAGATGGACCTCATGTGAACACGGACTACGACGCGCTTTTTTTGACCGACGTATTTGACTCATTCTTATGCCCCTAACATATTGAAGCCCGCTATCGCAATGACATTTAACGTATATCCCCACCACTCAGAACAATGAGGGCTATTCTGCTCAGGTCCTCGGTTTGGGGAAGGCGATGATTTAAGTATTTTGTCTGCTTTCATATTGCTCTTAACATTTCCTCCGTCAAACAAACCTCCCCATAAACAACCGAATTATCCTCTTAGTTTTTTAGGCCTTTACTACGATTTTCTAAAAAGGTTTCATCTGAGCCTTTGAATGGATGTCTTTATGGGATCAGGGCTCACGCTAAGCAGTGCTTGTTGTGTGAGCCTGGACCCCTAACATCCGTTCGCGCAATCCCAGGTCAACGGAAGAACTCGGCAGAGAAAGTTTACCGTGCCGCAATACTCAGCACAATTAATTCCGCATTTGTACTTGTATTTAACATCAGCTGACACTTCACACACATACGTAGCTATTACGTGTCATTAGTCCGAGAGATAAAACAGCGTGTCCAAAAACAACGGAAATGGATAAGAGATGCAAACCACATACAGACATGCACGCATAAACAGAATGACACCACCTCATTGCACAAAAGTGATCAACGTCACGCTCAGACGTCACCTGACCTTCAGCGCGATCGCCGCCGTCGGTCGCGGGCCAAATATGGCAAGGGCAAATAGCGGACGCCTAAGCAATTCAAACCCATCCCGCCACTGGTGTGTGGATCGGAAGACAAGCGCTCAGACCTACTGAGCCACCGGGACGAACACTCGAGCGACATGGTGATGTCACAGAAATAATTGGCTGTACCTTTCACCCGCTGTTATCACCGCCCTTACGTAAACAAATATGAGTGGTGGACTGCCCATCGCCCCGTCGCTTTACCATAGGTCAGCAGGTTACCGTAAATCTACCGCATCACACGTGGCGTTCTGCATCGGCTCTCGCACACTGGCCCCGGCGTAAACAGCATAGCACTATCTTAACCGTCAGAGGGACGCCCCGCACAGGACAGCCAGCGACTGCAGACTCGCTAACAAAGGTGCGGTCGAACAGGCAGCCATCAGGGTCACTGGGCTCCGAACGGCGCACGTCGACAAACCGACAACGCAGAGGGCCGATTCAACTGGTGATGTAATCGGAAGTCACACTCGTGTTGTTTCTGGCTATTTTCGTGAAAGAAGGCAACTGCGAGTTTAAAAAAAACTCAGCCTCTCCATGCAACAGCTTTTTAGCACATGAGAAATGGACATGGATTGTGAGAGAAAATTCAGGCACGTGGGGTGAACTCTTGCATGCTTGTCTCAGCGCCAAAGCGTTCTAGCAACTTATTCAACGCCTGGATCGCTACAGCATACGAATATACCAAATAAGCGGATGTTTTCTATCGGACGAGCGTCAAACCCGTCAAAAACGATTATGCCCGTAATCAACGCGCGCCTTTTGCGCAATATCGCGCAAAACCTATTTCAATAATCTATGAACGGGTCAAAGGTATGAGACCAACGCACAGCTTTCGACTCACACAGAGCATCACGCGCAGCTTAGGCTTGGGATACGTTACCACATCGTTTTGGTTTCCTCGAAGACGTCGAATATCCCCAGGCAAGGAGGAAGCGGTTTGCTGGAAGCGGCCATTTCATTGACGGCAACAGCGTGTTGCATTCGTGCCATGTTACTGCCGGTGAAAAATTATCTCAGCAAGGATAACTGGGTGGTAATAAGTCTATGCTGAAGTATGGCTTAGAAAGAGTACTTTGACCCCATCGGCAAGCTTTTGATCATGCTATCTGATTTAAGTAATAACATCAGCATTTAATCGTCATGTTAGCGTTTAATCACAGGAATAGCTTTTAATCACTTAATCGTCTTTTAATCATGGGACTTCCTCTTAAGCACAGAACCAGTTTCTGATCATTATATTAGCTTTAATCATAAGATAAGCTCTAATCAGGAGAAGGCATGCCGTTCGCCAGTTTATCACTAATCGTCCGGTAGCGCAGTCCGATAACTGATAGCGTCCAGTTAAACGGTCGAAGATATAATTGCGTTCTTTGCGTTCGGCGGTTCGGCGGTTTGGCTTCAATTGTTCTTTTTGTGTTCTAAGGACCTTTCATCGATCAACAGAATATTGTTTCTTTTTATCAGTTAGTTCTCTGCGATGCGGCATCCCTGGAAATGGTGCTGGCTTCTCACGCTATTTTAGAGCTCTCTTTGTGATCCATGGATAATTTGAGTCCTTGAGCACATTTCAGCGCACTTTCGTCGTCGCGGAAACTTTTTGATTAGTTCAATGACCGGGTCGTCAGACGGCAGCTCTTAACAGCTTATAGGGCCGTTTAATAACCTTGCCTGCTTTCTATGTAGAACCAATATCGGCCTCTACACGTACAACTCGTTGAAGTATTTACAAACATCCTTGAATCTCCCTTAAGTTCAAGTGCACAGGGGTATTACTATTAATCCTTCCAGAGGTGTCAAACCCCCAATGTTGACTTGAGTCCCCAGCCCTTTCCAACACCTTCCGAGCCTCCTTAACGCATGTGAGCAAAAATGCAAACCTGGGATAAAGAAATGCATGTATTTTGTCTGAAGTGCTTATATCCAGATGCCTGAGCGCACTGTCATAAGCTTCATACTTGTTTTTTTGTCACCACGTAGCATGTAGAACTCGTGTAGGAATATAAGAACCCTTTTCACGCTAGCATTATCTCGACAATGTCCCAGATTTCTGTCAAATGGACAAGCTCTGTACTTGGTACAACCATGAAATACACAAAAAACTGTTTGAAATAAGATTTAGCCCATCGCTTGTTGTAAGTCTTATCAAAATAGCTATTAAATTGTTATTGGTAAGCCAGCTTTTATCATCATGAATCTGTGAACTATTTTGCTGTTATAGAAGTGATAATGAAACAAGAACGCTTTCAGGGTAAAATTTACCGGCTATTTGATAGACCTGTCGGCAGTCAACACGCATCCCGCCTGTTGATCCTAACCCTCACGCATTCAGACATGGTGGCAACTTAGATCTCTCTCTCCGGTCCTCATCTAGCAATGATAGTGCAAAAAGCACTATGATGTTTTGTCAGGCAACTCATTCGTATGATATTCGCATGACAATTGGACCTGGAAATAATTGTGATAAATGTGTGCGCTGTATCTTCATGATAATGTATTTGCACTGCCCAGAGACATTCTTATTCTGAGAGACTCATTATTATTAAGTTTTCTGAGGTTTCACAACAATGTGTTTTTAACATGAAACCAAAAATAGTAACATTCCATTTCATGTCCTGATGGCTCCAGGATTTTTCATAGTGTAAAGGTTGAATAACACGACACTTTGAGAGCATGACACGAGCATCGCGAGCATTGCAATTATTCAGGTTCTCAGACGTTGCCGCCCAATATACATAACCATGCTATGTGCTGATCAAAACACAACAGAGCCAAAAAGTTCTGAATGCCTGTAGCGAGCATTAGGATGCAAACTTGTTTGCGGCGACATGATTCCTTGCAAAAACTTGCCGAGTATTACTGCGAGACATCCATAGCTTAAATAATGTCATGCTCACACCAAATTCCAAGAGGATGTTTGAGTGTTCAGTATCCGGCGAAGATCACGTAGGTGCAACACTTCCAATAGGCTGGAATTTGTGTTGTATTTTACTGTCAATAAAATGCCCACCTAAAAGCTGCTATTTGTTGCACAATACTTTTCTTTCCCCTGCCAGGCCATCATGCGTTCACAGAATAGTTTCTACGCCTTCCGTAAACGTGCGCCTCCAGTGTGTTCATTATAAGAAATGTTTCGCGCTTGAAGATATTGAAACAAGCATCAGATATGATGACACAAACCCACTTGTATTTGTTGGTATCCTTTTAAGTGAAAAAGACTGCTCTATACACCACAATTTTACGTGTAGTTAATATGCTCCTCAATGCGTCATGATTTGATTGCGTTATCGTACCTTGCAGAACATTGAGAGCCAGTTGGCAACGGTTATTTCTGGAAAACACGCTCACGAACCCGCCTCATGGATTATGGAATATGCAATTACCAATATGCAAGGGCGTGTTTATAAAATGACGTTACCAAGCAAACGTTAAAAATCGACGTTTCAATCTGTCCCCGTGGGCGGGACAGTTTGATAATGAGGGCTCGAAACCTTACTAACGTTTAATAGCTAACATCGTTTAATCAGCATCATCAGGCATTAGAAAGGCCGGTAACTGTCGGCGCAATAAGTCTGAACACACAGTGTTAACACACTTGACCTCTTTTGTTTATATCTAGTTGGTTAGCCCTTGGGCTTCTATTCAAGGCTCAGTTATGTGCCTATCGCATCGCACTGCCACTGACCGAAGTCCCACATTCAGTTTAATATGAACTGAGTTGACAAGAAGACGGGTCATCTTCAACGACAGCCGACCAATCTCGAGTTTTCTGCGGGCGGGTGGCATGCGAGGTGGCAGTGTAATGGCACAAGCAGATGATAGTGTGCGGCGTCACGTCCTCGTCCTCGGCAGTCAGCAGCGGCGTCAGTGCACCTGCCACGCAACGGTGATGCCAGCAGCCGAAGCAGTTATTCGGCTCGTATGCCCTTGACTGGCACACCACCAAGCACGGACGAGCACTGGGTGGGTTGCTAGGTCAGCCGGGGAGTGACGTGAAGGTGCTGATACCGAGCCGAGACCCGAAATAGACCCAGCAGCACTCGACCCCTGGTAGCGGCCCCCGACCCAGTCGGCCTGGATGTTCGCGAGCCGCAACACTACCCCCAACGAAGGTCAACATGTCCTGGGTGAGTGCACGACGGGTGTTAAAAGGGGAGTTTGCTCTTCACTGTTGTTTTGTTACGATCCATCCTCAGCGTACTTAATAACACTATGTTGTCATCACAATGAATGGTTGCGATGAGCAGAGTAAGACGGGAACTAACAAGGAAACGTTTGTGTGCGATTTATGGAAAAATTACTGGCTCCCGACTCACCGCTGAGAAGCGTGACCCAGATGTGGCGGGGGTCTGGCCGTCGAGGCCGCCGCCTTCAAACCTGCGCATCGTGACTTAGACGCTAGTGTGAGGTATGTGGGGCTCGCCTCAGCCGGCGGCAGGGCTGTGCGGCGACCGTCTGGCCTTGCGTGAGGGGGACGGCGCAGGGGCAGCGGCAGGAAGTAGCCATGAGGGATCGGGGGCGGTCTCTTTGCTCTTTTAGCAGGATAACTGACCCGGCAGCGACTGACACTTTCGACGGTCTCGGGATTTCTCCCACAGCCGAATGGAACTAAAAAGGTGACCAATGACCTAGTGATAGATTGGGGCTCCTCATCAAGGTTTTGCCTTGCGTGAGTGCTTTCAATGCCGGCCATAGGCTGTGTAATGTGTCTTTTTATTGGTGAGAGGGGAGAGGCTCTCCGTAACAGAAGGCGTCATTGTAGGAGCAGTGCGCCTCTCATAAAAATGTGCGTCTGGAACTGAACTGAGAGCATTCTAGTTACGCTAGACATTGCTAGATTTACATTATAGCTTTAAAGTGAAAAGCAATGAAAACCCACCACTACGTAACGTCTCGCGCCAAAAATAATCCGTCTGGATAGCAAAGGTATTGACGCCATGCCCGAAACTAAAGGATTACGCACTAGCACGACATGATCGTATATCATCATGCACCCGACTTGGATCACTGATACACGCTTGTAAGTTAATCCGCATCGTACTTAACATCTGAGCACTCCAAACGGTTCACAACCGTGGGCAGGAACATCATGCCACCGTGCATGGTGAGTTTAAAGACCTTAGTATCTCAACTATGACCTTTGATGAGGGGGACTGCGACTGTGGAAGCCATCGCCCCATTCCTAGCAAAGACGGTTCTCTTATCGGGTTTTACACGCCTGAGATTAGCGCACGAAAGAAGTATTTTACCGTCTTTGCTAGGAATGGGGCGATGGCTTCCACAGTCGCAGTCCCCCTCATCAAAGGTCATAGTTGAGACACTAAGGTCTTTAAACTCACCATGCACGGTGGCATGATGTTCCTGCCCACGGTTGTGAACCATTTGGGGTGCTCAGATGTTTAGTACGATGCGGATTAACTTACAAGCGTGTATCAGTGATCCAAGTCGGGTGCATGATGATATACGATCATGTCGTGCACGTGCGTAATCCTTTAGTTTCGGGCATGGCGTCAATACCTTTGCTATCCAGACGGATTATTTTTGGCGCGAGACATTACGTAGTGGTGGGTTTTCATTGCTTTTCACTTTAAAGCTATAACGTAAATCTAGCAATGTCTAGCGTAACTAGAATGCTCTCAGTTCAGTTCCAGACGCACATTTTTATGAGAGGCGCACTGCTCCTACAATGACGCCTTCTGTTACGGAGAGCCTCTCCCCTCTCACCAATAAAAAGACACATTACCCAGCCTATGGCCGGTATTGGAAGCACTCACGCAAGGCAAAACCTTGATGAGGAGCCCCAATCTATCACTAGGTCATTGGTCTCCTTTTTAGTTCCATTCGGCTGTGGGAGAAATCCCGAGACCGTCGAAAGTGTCAGTCGCTGCCGGGTCATTTATCCTGCTAAAAGAACAACGAGACCGCCCCGATCCCTCATGGCTACTTCCTGCCGCTACCGCTGCCCCGTCCCCCTCACGCAAGGTCAGACGGTCGCCGCACAGCCCTGCCGCCGGCTGAGGCGAGCCCCATATACCTCACACTCGAGTCTGAGTCACGATGCGCAGGTTTGAAGGCGCCGGCCTCGACGGCCGGACCCCCGCCAGAGCTGGGTCACGCGCCTTAGCGGTGAGTCGGTGCTGTGCGGCCGACCGCCAGCTCCTGCCGCCGGCTCCCGCCACCAGGCGGCGCCGGTCCCGCTGGCGGACATAAGAAAACAAACAGAAGTCTCGTCCCCAGTCAGCTGTCGGTGCTGATGTCTGGGCGGCTATCTGAAATGTGCAACAGACACGAAGACAACGATCCAATAACGACGAACGATACATTTCCAGCAATTATGTGGAGAACTTTATCAGATGATTGAGTCCACTGTCTGAAGCTGACGGCGTCGCAAACATTTTTAACGCTGGCTTTCATGGCATCACCGTTCACAACTGGCCACGGAAACCTAATACCCTCGATGTTTTACTTGTTTCCATTTTCTACAATCAAAGCATCAACATGTTGTGACACAAATAATTATCGAAAAAGGTATTCTTTGAACTGACGGTTGTGATAAATTCTAACGTTGTGAGATGAATTGGCACATTACCGAATATGGCTGTTTTCTGACACCACCCCTATCCTGTTCAGAGAGGCGAAGGTGCAGGTACCCTTCCGGGAGAGCACCCTGCAAGTACTATGCGTGTGTGAGCCCCTGTCGGCTGCGTGAGATGCAGCACCGCGTCCGCACACACCAGATCGCAAGCGTTAACACCGAGGTCTGGTGCCGGCAGCTCTTAAGTGGTCGTGATCGGGCTCAAGAGGCTGAAGTCCGGCACTGGATCGAGGCGGTGACCGGCGAGAGGTGGCCACAGGGCGCCGACTACGCCGAGTACATCAGGTACGGCGCGGCCGCACGGCCTGCTCCACCGCATGGTGACGTTCTGTCGCAGGTCGGGGACGCTTGACTTCATCGGCGTATGTGCTTGACGCATGCAGCCGACTGTAATATCGTAAATTGCGGACACCTAGCAAAAGTATATTGAGGCAGATCAAAACGTCATGCAACGTTGGAACTGAACGTGATCGGTTGGAAAGATTTCTTGAATGGCACCTTAACATCGGGCATTTGCTCCATCTTGTGGTTCAGTAAATGTTTCACAATCAATGATTACATGACGCAAACCACTGAGTAGCCTTTGCAGCGCTGGTGTGTTTTTGCCATTCACGTGCGATTTATTTGTTTTTAGTTGTTTTTTTAGTTTGCGTCATTCGACCCTGAACGGTGAGACAAAATAGATGCTGTGCTGCACGCAAATCGCACTGTGACAGAGACGGAGTGGTCCTCTGCAAGCTGATGAATAAACTCTCCCCTGGCTCCATCAAGAAGATAAATACGGCTGGCTCTTCATTCAACCACATGGACAACATCCACAGGTTTGAGCACTGTGCCTGATCATTGGCATATCGGCATAGTGGACAAATATGTCTTAACGCTAAAATAGAAGCATGTGAGCCACAAAATCCTGACATTTTTTCTGTGATTCCTCTGGCTTTCTATGAGCCGTCTGCCGTGGACTGAAGCGTATTGGACTGTGGACTGTGCGTATTGCCTTATGTCCAGGCTGCAGTTCTAACTCTAACTCAGAACTGTGTAACGAAGTGTGAGTAAAGATGACATTAAACGCATGTGTGCTAAAAAATATAAACCCAGGTTTTGGAACGCTCACATCTTTGACACCAGCACTCGGACCACGACCGCAATGCACCGTGGTACCACAATGCCTGTAAGAGCACCACCGGACTGTCGTGGTTACCGTCACGGCCACGGTCAGGGTCACGGTCACGCCACGTCACGTCACGTGCCGTCGGCGCGTCACGCCGGCACGCTAGTTCCTTCCTCCCAGTCCCACGCCCTCTCTGGGGCGCTGACGCCGCCCGGCGTGCCGCCAGCTTCCTGGACGCCATGAAGGCATACGGCTGCGCGGACGTGGACCTGTTCGAGGGCTCCGACCTGCTGAAGAAAGGGAAGATCGAGTCGGCGACTCGGGCAGTGCTGGCCGTCGCCAGGCAGGTGAGCAGGCGTCGCGGCTGCCCGACCCCAGCGGCCACTGCCGGAGCAGCGCACTGACAAGCAGAGACAGAGCAGCCAACCGAGCCTTCGCGACGTTCCAGGCGAGCCGGTGCGACGTGCCAGTCGAGCCTGCGCGGCGTGCCAGTCGAGCCGCTGTGACGTGCCAGTCGAGCCACTGCGAGGCATGTTGGGAAGACATTGCAGCACGTGCGTAGATTTGATCCGTGACTCCCAGGCAAGCCACGGTTTGTCGCTGTTGTGTATTCCGTCCATTGCTGGTTGGAGAATCATGCATGATCGTCAGCACACCAGGGAAGTGGACAGGTACGTCTTAGCACTGGACTAGAAGCGTATGAGGTACAAACAGTCCCATGCTCCAGTTGAGCTATAGAGCGGGCAGGTCGGTGTAGCTCTCTGGGCTTCAGCTCTGCTTTCTGCCCTCCTGCCTGTGCGTATGGTCGCACACGTGTTAGCGGCGCCCGTCTGCCGCCAGGCCCACCTGGACCCGGCGTTCCGGGGGCCGCTGATGGGACCCCGGCCGTCGCAGCAGAACGTGCGACACTTCGACCAAGAGACCATCGCCGCCGGCAACACCGTCATCGGCATGCAGGCCGGCTCCAACAAGGGCGCCTCGCAGGCCGGCCAGAGCTTCGGCAAGCCCCGCAGGATCATCATCGGAAAATAGCTGGACTAGCCGGCACTCTGTCCTGGGACAACCGCCGCTCTGTCAGAAGGCTCTGGCAGCAGTTGGCCCCAAACCCAAATTACGGCCGCGCGCTATATTACTCCATGCACCGCTACAACAATGAATGCCGCTTCACGAGGGTAAGCTCAGAGTATGTCTCCGCTCTTCGCCCTCAGTCACGCTCAGTATCGTACACGATGCCGCAATATTTGAGTATGAAATAACCATTTTAAAGAAATGTTATGCATTACTCACGTTGCTGATGCAAAGTCTATAAATGACACTAATAAAATGGGAACTCCTCGTTAGCCGTCTTTGTAGGTGCTGTACGCACATTTCGACGGCCAGCGCGATCTGCAAACAACAGTGTACGGCACTTCAAGGTCTTTGTGCACTAAAACCACGCCTCACGTCCTGTTCTGCTTTGATGGTGTAAACGCGTCCAACATGTAGTTTCAAGATGGTCTGGGCCGGGCACATTTAAGTTGTTCACACAACCTTAAAGTGAAAGTTTCGTTCTGTTCTGTACTGTTTCCCATTTATATGTGGTTTCGAACTGAGATAGTCATTTCCCAGATCATTCCCTTCACTTTGCACTTATTCACTTTGTGAGACTTGACATCCTCTCGTTACTGAGATAGGCGCAGGCGAACTTGTGCAGACTTTTTTGCGCCGCCTAATTTGAAATCAAGCAGGAAGCGCATGACGTCATAGAAACGGAACATGAATTCCACCTTTTCAATGGACATTTTGTGTTCAACGTAAAGCATCAAATGATCATTAACTTACTTGTGTCTGAACCATGCCAGCACGGGTTGACGAATGAACGAGCACTAGTTGCCTGCCACCCAACTTACCCGCTAAATGCAATAATCGATCACAAGCAGCGTTTTCTGGTATAAAATACCGGCACTTTGTAAAGCCTACCAGTTGTAACAGCCATGACACTGGAAATGTAATAGATTAAGACTAGTTCTGTAGCCGAGCACGGAAATGAAAGTAATCGCAAACACAGCACGAGAAAGGCCTAAAATACGTGCACATTACTGTGGTCCTTTTTCACACGCATAGATGAACAAGCTACGTTGCGACGAGTCTGAGTGCTAGGAGTGAATCAGCCTAATTGCTACAGTGGCAATTCGGACACAGCCAGTCTGGTAGCAGCTCCGACTTCATGAAAACGTTCATTAACGTAATCGAACAATGACGCACTGAGGACAATTTTTCTTAGATAGTGAATCTGTGTTACCTTGAGTAGTCCTCTGCATTAAAAATATGCTAATAGCTACAAGTGAGGTTTTTGCATCGTATGTGATGCTTGCCCCAATGTCGTCAAATGGGGAACACTGCTTCTAACGAGAGATCATGGCCTGTAAGAGGTGCGCACACCGGGGCGGGAAGTCGACATGCGTCAGCCGGTCGGCTTAAAGTTCCAGATGCGGGTAGTTACGGACTGTTTCGTTCACCCGCCTCATGCACGGAAAAATGGCGAGAAACCTCCTCTCTGACTCTGAGCTATCAGACAGCCAGTATGTGACGGGTGCACACTGGCGCCGGCGGTCGCCGGTGCAGAGAGAGTCGCAAAGAGGAGGAAACGTTGGAGCCTTACGTACAGGCACGATGGTGGGCCATCGTCCATAGCTACCATAACGACGGTAGGCATCGGTCAAACGGAGGTTTGCCATACTGATGGCACGATACTGACGCATCAAGACCATCTCGACGGAGCAACCAAAGTATGCCGTGAAATATGATATTGGACGCCAACTGGACAATGCGTCGCTGGGGGACTGGGTAGGGAATGAGAACCAAACGATAACATGAAAAAGGAATGGAAAGATACCTGAAGCTGGTTGAATCAGAACGGCGGCCTGCCTTGGAAGCTGACAGCACAGTTGCGGCGCTTCATATCCGCAGAGACCAGACCTGTTACAAGTCAGTCAATTACACCAATACAATGCATTCCAATCAAGGGGTCAACATTTCACGGAACAATTGTATAGCAACATTGTAAGTAAACAACGGTAGGCATACGATCTAAGTTATTTCAGAGGTCACGGTGTGTACGCCTCAGGACGTGCCAATCATGATCCGTGCACTTAAGACTGGCACCGAAGTCGCTCGGCGGCCAGGTACGTGCCAGTATTTGGCTCCAATCGTCCCGCCCGTGTAGACGCCAGAGGCCTGAGATCACATAGACAGGCCCGCGACGGCAGTATAATCATTAGGCAGAGCTGAATTTAGACCCGAGCACCCGTGACGTTGGGACGCGCTTCCTCAGGTCGCCGAGGGTTCGCTGGAAGCGGTAGCCGCTGCCTGGCGCCCGGCGCGGCAGTCCTGGTTCATTGGTCGGCCACGGAGCGGCGCATGGCGCGGTTGAGAAGCGCGGGCTGGTTCATGACGCGGTAGCACGCTAGGCCCGCAGTGATGCGCATCTGTAAATAAACTGCTAGTGTTTCGTACAATGCGACACAGGACAGCACTGACAAGACCTGTGGTTTCCAAAATCATTGGCTTCTCTGCATGAGCGGCGGCATGTATTTCCAGTTGTGGCGGCCAGTGGTGTCGATCTTGTAATTATTGGAGACTGCGCGTAACGCCGCACGAGCTGCCCCACCCCGCATCCCGAATTTGTTTTTCTCGGTGAATACAGCCCAATTTCTTGTGGAGAAAAGCAGTTGATGTGGTACGAAAAACACTTAATTTAAGCGTTTCGAGTGTTGAAGGAGGAGCAGATCTAGAGGGGGGGGGGGGGGGGGGCACTAGAGGTACGTTCACCTTCTGATTGGAGAATAAAGGTGCCTCTGCAGAGGTCGCCTTAGGGCGCCAAACACACTCCTCTTTGGCGGCTTTGGGCGGAGGCACATATTTTTGGTTGTGGGGGACGGAGACTGGGTTACTTATGAATGATTTGAGATCATTCTCGTGTCCCGGAGCTTCCCAGTTCACCTATTAAACCTTTGCCTATCCTATGAACCTATGTGTGTTAATTTTTACTCAGTAATTATTATCTTTAGCTGTCGATGAGACAGAACACATTTTGTTATAAGGGGAAAGGTGTTCTTGTGTTGGTAGATGCACTGCGCTTTACGATATACATTTTGGCTTTGTGTCTATGGGGCGGTACAAATGCAGGTACCTTGACGCATCTAGTTGCCAGTTTGGAGGCCGAGCCATTCGACTAAATGACATAGCCTTTTCACTTCTTTATCCTTGGACATAAGATAAATCACCTCCTGTAAGGCAGTGCTGTTTTATTAAGTTACAATTTTTGCGTGGCCCGCGAGCGGTCTGCAAACATTGGGTTTAAATCGAACATCGTACCACAATTTTCCAACTTCGACTATGTCATGGTATTCATTATTGTAATCAACAAGACCATCAGATAAAAATCTCAGGAATATTCAGCCATGTTCACTAGCTCATAACGCAACTAACTCACAATTCGCATTGACCTATATATGTATTGGATTGAAGCTAAGAGCCAACTGCTTCAATTAGATACCTAGGATGCGTTGTATGAATTACGGCGGTCATGTGTTTGGTTGTAGCTGTGGTGCAGAAAATACCTGTGCTATTAGCAGGACCACCACGTGGATGTCTACTACTACATCGCTCCGCGGCCAGGGTGTTCGTAAGTTTCCGTTGAATGTATGAATGCATCACTTAAATTTTGTTAGGGCTAGTTCTCCATCTACATAACAAAGTGTTAAGCGATCAACTTGCAACATAAGTTTCACTTCAATGCAGAAGATTACTTACCAGTAAATTGAGTCACTCTGCGCCCTACACAGCGGAGCACTTCTCTCTTGTAGTCTAAAAGCTTCAATTGAACCCGAATCGAGAATTTTCCACAATGGTAGTAGCAAGCAGCTTAGGAAATTAACACGCGCTCGGGTCGGGAGTTAGCGTAACTCCCCAAAAGTTTTCCAAAATGGTTTCCGAACAGTGCGGTGAAGTCGTGCCAAATTTAGCATAGGTGTTCACAATTAAATAGTGGATCGTTTGGAGTAAGAAATTTTGATGCATCTTGTAAGGTCACTGTCCTATGGCAGGTCAAAGTCAGGCCATGGTTTCAGCAAAGTCAAGTTCTAGGGAATCGTTCATTCTGATGGAAAAACGGAGTGTTTGACGAAGCTATACATCTTCAAGATGCTTTTTTAGGCAACACAAGCATTAAATGAGCAAATTAAGGTGGCTTTAGTCCAGGAATGGAGGTCAGACCAATGTCAAAACCAAACTGTTTTATTACTCTAGGGCTTGCTGTATGGGGCATTTTCCGGTAATCATTTTGAATTTATTGATAGAGGGAACCGCATCATACATCTTAAACTGACTTTTTAAAGGCCATAATAGGTCATTGACCCAAGATGATCCAGGTCGAAATTTTTTAAAGAACATACTGCCAGGCATAATCTTTGTCCCTTATTCAAATGCAAAACTCAGGACAGTCTCGCATGATTTTGGTCCACATGTTCTTCAGAACGTCAAGCAAGGTTACTGACCTTAAATGAGCTTGTGACCTTTTGCTTAGAACAGTTATCTAGGTTGTATTGGCGCTTTGGAGACTAACCTGAAATTTGACATTGTCTGACCTTATTTGACCGGAAGGTCATGATCGGGTGCTCTCGAACTTTGACCTGAGGGAGTTTACGTACAGGTAAACACGCACTGCAAATTTGGTGTCTCCAGCTTTCTTAGTTTCTGAGATCTCAGGGGGGGATCAAGTGGAACCCCGCGCGAGCGACGGGTATCGTGGCCGGCAAACGGCTTCTACATGAAGGTCACACTTCTCCACATTGCGGCACTGAAAAGCGTAAGAGGCGCCGAGATCGACTACATTGTTACAATGAACGGCGTCATGATTTCATCCGAGTCAGACAATGTTTTATTGCTTTGTACGTCACATGTGAAATCTCTTGCCAAAGGTTTTGAGTAAAGCGACAGTCGACAGACATCGCCTTTTTCCGTATCAGCACGCTTGCATATGCATAAAATGCTCGCAAAATACAATATGACGGGAGACACACCAGTCGTCGTGGCGGAGGGTCAACTACGGTAAAGCTCTGACGTTTTGCTGACCACATTCGTGATGTGGCGAAACGCGTGGTGGCAGGTTCGCATTCCAGAACAGGTGTTTGTATATGGCTCGTCTAAGAGAACCAATCGGTTTCTGGCTTGACAGTGTCAGACTGGTCACGGGGCAGCCGACAGTCGTGTGGTGGCATCACACGGTAAAGGTCTTTCGTGCTATTTTCATAAGGCACGGAGGCAGAATGGCTCCGTTTAACGTGCATTGCAATAATGGGATGGCGAGGGCGCAGTG